CTACACAAATGTGGCAAAACAGGGGGAATTCTAGGGTGTAGTGGTATGGTGTGTGTACTATTTAGTAGCATTGATGGAATTTGTATTTTAACTAAGACCTATGGCACTTTGCAATGATGTAGTACCTATTCATTTTCTGCCTATTTGATCCATTGAACTTGTATTTCATATCATGTAATTTGTTTTCCTTACGTACTGGTTTGTTCAATGTTATGCTGGTTGTGGATAGGAAATGGACAATATGCCTGACCAGGTTGTTAACATTGGTGGTGAGGATAATGTGGTGGAACAGGGTGGGGTAGTTGCTGCTGATGATGGCAATCCAGCAGCCCCTTAGCCCAATGGCCCTATGCACTGGACTCCTGTCTAGTTTGGGTTCATGCTAAGGAGGTTCCATGATTTGGTGGGGCAGGGGGTCAAAACTGAAATAGGGTACAAGGAGGTACATGTTAGGTAGGTTGCACTCATGGTCTCTGAGTTTGCTGGGGTCAATGTGAGCACCCAGCAGATTTACAATCACCTGAGAAAGTGGAGGCAAATGTGGGTTAAAATTGTTAGGCTCAAGGATTTGAGTGGTGCTCTATGGGATGAGGACCACCATATGATAGTACTTGATGATGAACACCTGCTTGGCCACACCAAGGTTAGAAACTATTTGGATAACACCTCAGCTATGCCTTTTCTTTTGCTCCCCTATGTCTAATAGTTATATCTATTTCACTAACTAGGATCATCCTGCTTGAAAGGATCAAGATGCCCAAGAGGAGGGGTGAATTGGGCTAATTCTAAATTTCTTCGCAATAAATAAATCCTACGGTTAGCCCAATTAACCCCTTGTGCCTAAAAAGTGTTTCTAATTATTCTACCGCACAAAAGACTTGCAACCTATGTTTCAATCCTACTCTAGCATGGCAATTATAAGAATGTAAATGGCAAGAATTGAATTGCTCAAAGTAAATGCTCAAAGCAAAGAGAGGAGAGGAAATGCGGCGATGTTCTGCCGAGGTATCGGAGAGTTGCCACTCTCCACTAGTCCTCGTTGGAGCACCCGCGCAAGGGTGTAACTTCCCCTTGATCCGTGCAAGGATCAGGTGCTCTCTACGGGTTGATTTTTTGACACTCCGTCGCGGTGAATCACCCACAACCGCTCACAACTTGAGTTGGGTCATCCACAAGCTCTCCGGATGATCACCAAGCTCTCAATCACCACCAAGCCGTCTAGGTGATGGCGATCACAAAGAGTAACAAGCACGAACTCTCACTTGACCATGACAAGCCTAATGAGATGGGTGGATGCACACTTTGCTACTCTTGATCTCACTAATGAGGGCTCTCTTTGGGATTCTTAAATCTCAATCATCTCACTAGGATCTTGCTCTTATTGGCACTCTCAAACATGTTTCTCAGCTGTTGGAATAAGCAAAAGTACCCCCACACACGAGTGGAGGTGGTATTTATATCATGGCATGAAAAACGAACCGTTATGTGCCTCTGCGGGGTGACCGGACGCTCCGGTCATGTTGACCGGACGCTCCGGTCAGTACACCCTGAACTCCAGTGTTTACAGTATGACCGGACGTTGGCCAGCGTCCAATCAGCACTGACCGGACGCGTCTGGTCGTGATTTTCCCTCTCTAGAACCTTACTGGAGTCGACCGGACGCTGCCTCTCAGCGTCCGGTCACTTAACTTCTCAGCGTCCGGTCAAACCAGACGCAATCATCTTAGTCAAATGAACTAACCGGACCCTGAGCCAGCGCCCGGTCACACCAGAGCCAGCGTCCGGTCAATACTTTACCCTCCATTCACTTCCAACTCTCGATCATATGTGAATGAAGTTTGCTCCATTGGATCTATGGGCTGTTTTAGAGCTACCTAGTGCTAGTTTTAACAAGTGTGCACCACACCTAACTCACTAGACTCACCTAGGTCAAGCTATCCGTCCATACCCCCCTTAATAGTACGGCCAAAGGAAAAACAAAGTCCAAAACTACTCTAAGTGTCTCTCCAACTCCAATCGACACTTAGAACTAGTCTATCCTTAACCTTGTCGTCCATCATTTGAAAACCGAAACGATTTCCATTGTAGGGGCATGACAACCATGATTGCCCAATCGATCTTCATTACCATGACCTAACTTAATTACCTCTGCAAAACATATGTTAGTCATAGTAATCTTGTATTATCATTAATCACCGAAACCCTACTAGAAGCCTAGATGCTTTCACTGTTGATGCTAAGTTCTTGAACACACCAATAGAGAACTATGTTTAGATGGAGGCCATCTTTGGTGGTAACCAGGCCACAGGTAGGTATGCAATGGGCTCAAATGAGCCTCTGGGTACTCCAACTGATATTGTCCATGGTGATATTGATGTCGTTGAGGACATCACTGACTTAGGTGGCACAGAGGCTGATTCTAGAAAGGGAACTCCTTCTGGTATGGAAGGCTCTAAGGGTTCTGATGCCAAGGACCAGGAGGAAAGGGGTGGCACGAGAAGGAAGCTTGCCCAAGAGGAAATAGACCTCATGAATGGAATGATCAATGCTGTGGAGTCTGTAGGAGATGCCCTCAAGACTCCACAACACAATGAGGTGCATCAGGACCTTTTATGGCTGTGTTATGGACTGCCCTGGGTACTCACAGGAGGCACTCATGTTTGCCCTGGTTTACTGTTGAAGAACAAGGCTGAGGAACTTTGCTTTGTTTAGATGACAGAGCCTCATAGGATCTTGTGGACTTAGGACCTACCTGAGCACAACCTACTTTGCTTAGATGCATATGAGTTGGCCTCTCCACTTTTGCATATAGCCATGCTAACTGTCTTATGCTGTAGGAAGTATTTTTATGTGTAGCACTGACCACATCTGATACTACAAAGAACCATTTGCTGCCTGACCAAGGCTGCACCTAGTTTTGTATAGCATAGGAGCCATGGTGATGGATGTGAGGCTGTGTTGATCTGTGTGGTGTAGACATTAACAACGGGTGATGGATTGTCACTTAGTTGATCTGAGCCCTAAAATACCTTGGATTGTCACTTAGTTGATCTGAGCCTTAAAATACCTTAGATTGTCACTTAGTTGATCTGATACATTTCAGATGCTGTTATTGTTCTTGTTATTCTTATTGTTGGAGTTCATATTTGACCGATGATGCAAACTATAGTAATCAGATGTGGCTGTGAGTATTCTTCCTGTTGCTGCTTTATTGTCTTATTGTGTTTTCTCATGTCTGTCATCAAACCATGGGATACGTCCATTTCTAAGCAACTGTTGTAGGCATGCCTACCAGATGGCTGGGATGGACGTGTCCCACGCTTCCATGGTAGCCATGAACTTGCCTCAGTAATTTGTGTTCTTATTTGTCATCTGGGATGATTGCAGTTAGTTTGCAAGATGATCATAAGTTAGTTTGTAGTTAGCTGAGGCCTGCATTTTTTTGTGCCTATGATGTCAACCATTTTTTTGATTGAGACTGATATAATTGTGAGATCCTTTTCATGCCTATGAAGATACTAGTGCCAGTTTGAGTAATGAATTATGCACATTGATAACCTTGGACTTGTGAGGTACTGGAGCATTGTTTCTTCTATCTTCTACTTATGCTTTTCATGGCTGTCATCAAACCATGTGGGACATCCATGCCCAAGCAACAGCTGGGCGGTTGTGATGATCTGAGCACGGTTGGTATAGATGTGCTCATGGTTTCATATCATGATGCTCAAAATGTCATTTGAGGTTTGTTATATTGTCTAGCTCCAAGTTTAAGGTCAAAAGAAAAGGCAATTAAAAAGGCAAATCGATTGGGTCTTATCAACATCTTATACTTGCAATTTTTGGCCTTCATGCCATGTGGCAAAGTTTCTAGGGTTTGGAACCTAGGCTAGATGCAATGCTGGGTAGCGGTTTTAAAAATAATAAATGACTATAAAGCTTCCCTAACAAAGAAGAGGTAGAAGCATCGCATTTAGAGTTCATGGGTTGTGAAGAATCAAAGTTTTTGTCAATGCTCCACAAAGGTGGTAAAGACAATGACCTTATTTGTTGTGGTTGTGGTGACTTTTTTCTTCACCGATGTTCATGATTTCGTTTTGGGAATACTATTGTCTTGTTTACTTATGCTCAAAATGTCATGGCTTGGATGTTGAAATCGGGAAAGAGGAATCTATGCAATGGTCTTCATGGAATGCTAGAGATCCGGTTTTGCAAATTGTTGCTACAAGTGAGAAAAAACTCCTTGCCGGACTAAAAACAAGTGTAAAGACAATGACCTTATAAGCTCGGACTTTTGTTGTTCATGATTTGCTATGAATACTATTGTCATGTTTACTTAGGGGCCTGGAGGAATTACGGAGGAATTTGGATGGTTTGGAGGAATCTTTGGAGGAATTTGTGAGAAGCTCCAAAGTCATTGTCAATGTCAAGCTCATTGAGTTTGAGATAAAAACAGGGCCTTTATCATTAGAAGCTTTTCATTGTCAATGTCAAGCTCATTGAACTGAGACAAAAGTTATTTATGTTTTCTTCTATTATTCTTCATTCTGTATAAGCTGATGGTAACTACACCAAAACGGTACACGAGTGCTCGCACCCTAGACCGTGTACCCAACCAAACACAAATGCTACCACCATTTCATACAGCAAAATAATTAATGAGGGTAACCAAACAGAATTAATGACATACAGGACAGCTAAGCTAAACTAAACCAAACGAATACTTTTATGTCGGCTCGGAAGAGCCACAGGGCCACCATCCCGACCTCTAAGCAACCAATCACGCCCTGGATAAACCCTCCTTCGCCGCGTCGCGTGGACGCGTGGTCCACCGCGTCCCCTGCTTCCGCTTCCGCACTTGCTTCGCTTGTTTCCCACGCGCAATTCCCACCGATCTGAATTCTGAAGAGGTCCGATCCCGCCCCACCCACCCCCGCCTCGGGCTCTCTGCTCATCAACCCGACCCACCGACCAGACCAGCGACCAGGCCGGGGGGCGAGGCGATGGAAGCGGCGGGCAACGGCCGCAGGGAGGCGGCGCTGGGCGCCCTCGCCGTGCTCCCCGACGAGGTGCTCTGCGCCGTCGTCGACCTCCTCCCGCCCGCCGACATCGGACGCCTCGCGTGCGTTAGCAGGTACCCGCCCGCACCTCTCCCCTTCGCTTCGTCTTCGGTTTTCTCGTCTTCCCCCGTGGTAGCTAGTACTAGCCAGGAATCACGGATCATATTCTGGCGTCCGAGTCCTGGGATGCGAGTGCCTTGCTTATTTACATTACATATCAGACGGCCAGCTGAATTTTGCAGTTTTGAAAGGTGAGGAATGGTAACTTGTGCCAAGACAGTAGCATCGATGCCAGAATGTGCGGAAATGAACAAGTCTGGGGATGGGTGCCCTTACGGCTGAGCTGTTTCTGATTCACCATTCATGGCTAGCTACAACTAGAACAGCTCACTGATGCACATGCGTGATTTTTATACAGTTTTCGTGATTAAAAAAAGATGGAGGTTCAAGTGCAGTGCGTGATTTTTCATAAGCTATGTGCTATCCTGAATCGATTTACTGGAAGGCATCATGAATGAATGATACATCCTCGAGCACATAATCTGTTTGGTTGCAGTTAGCTGTGCATGGAAAAAGGCACAGTTTATAGCCTTCAAAAACTAGTTTTTAGCATGGGGAACCTGGAGCCTCTCAGTAGCATGCATGAAGTAAAATAATTAACATTCTATACCAATTCGTCACAAAATGACCATTTGGCAAACAGATTCAAAGAAGATCACCATGGAGAGAAGTATAAAAAATCAGAAAAATATTTTCCTTACCCTTTCCTCCCAATGATGCGCATAAATGTGTCTGGATTCGCTAGACATGTTTTCAAGTTCCCTTTGAGAATTGCATTACCTGGGATATATTTGGAATTAAGCCCGGTCTCGGGGCTTGAGGTGGGTTGATGCTCCTAACCTTTCCCCCTTCATTATTGACCAAAAGACTATACATATTCTGGAGGGTTTCATCCATTGAGGGTCAATGAAATAGACCCCATTTTGAAGAGTTCAAAATTCTTTTCGGTCTGATGATCTCTTATGTGAGTTAAAAGTAGGCTCCTTAAGTCCTTATATTATATTTTCTTAGTGATTTGTCTTGCTAGTATCTATACCTAATATCCTTGTAGGGTTTGTAATTATGTTCTTTCTTAAATCACTTTCAGTGTCATGTACATACTTTGTAATGAAGAACCTCTCTGGATGATCAAATGTCTTTCAATTGGGGGTCCTCTTGAATACAAAGGTTCTTGGAAGAAGACGGCATTATGCAGGTACGTGCAAATTCAAGTCCTGCAACATTTAGTTATGTTTTACTTATTGTAAGCTGTTCTTTTGGTGTTTAGGATATCATCCTTATTGATCAACGTTGACCATTTCGAAAAGGTGAGACACTGATTGCTTCATTTTCAGGCTTGGTCTATGTTCAGAAAACAAGGAGATTTGGCAGAAGCCTCGTCAGTTCGATGGTAATTTACATGAACATTTTGTCTTCCATTTCTGTTTTTTTAGATAAGGTGAGACAATGATTGTTTTTGCTCTTATCCTCTACCTTTTTATGCTTACTTTCCTGTAGGATTCAATTCTTTGTATCTATACAGGAGATGGTATAGATGTTTTACTACTCTGAGTAGTTTTTCCTTTGACGATGGACATGTGGAAAGGAAAGATGACCTTTTATTGGATCAATTTCGTTCTCAGTATGATGGAAAAGGCCCAGTAAGTCATGTGAACCTTTCGATTTAATATAGATTTTTAATGACAACACTTGAATTTTCTGCATTTATTCTTGTGTTCCACCCATCTCTGAAAACATATTATTGGTATTACAATACTAGGTTTTGCTTATGAAGTTGGCTGAAACCTGGCCTGCGAGGACAAAATGGACACTGCAGCAACTGACAAAGGATTTTGGTGAAGTTCCATTCAGGATATCTCAAAGAAGTCCTCAGAAGATAACAATGAAACTAAAGGATTATGTTTCTTACATGGAACTCCAGCATGATGAAGATCCTCTATACATATTTGATGATAAGGTATCCTGTATTCATCATTTCATTTCATTTGCTACAAAAGTTACCAGCATAGAAAAACTCATTTGGCAAATCATTGCAGTTTGGAGAATCAGCACCAACGTTACTTGAAGATTATAGTGTCCCTCATTTATTCCAAGAAGATTTTTTTGATATCTTGGAGTATGACCAAAGACCAGCATTCAGATGGCTTATTATTGGACCAGAGAGATCAGGTGCTTCTTGGCATGTTGATCCAGGACTGACGAGTGCATGGAATACTCTTCTTTGTGGCCGAAAAAGGTTGGAGTCCCTTCTTGAGTTATTACCTAATAGTAACACCTGAATTATTCCAAATTCTGGTACCTGCAACTTAATGGGCGCTTATTACACCTGTGGATTGCTAACTTCTAAACTTGTGGCGCTTTAAGGTCATGAATTTTTTTTATGACTACTATTCAGTTTTCAAAATGACAGAGAAAGAGTTGCCCCCTTGATGTGCTTATTTCTGTTGTCGTCATTAATTTGAAACTTCACTTATATTCACCAATCATCATACTTGTATTTCAGACAATGGAATGTGTATGTTAACCTTTGCTACTCTTGCTGATTGTCCCTAGTGTGCATAATGTGAACTTTTTAATGAATATAAAATTTGATATTTCCTCACAAGATCCATCTTATTTCATAGATGGGCATTGTACCCTCCAGGAAGAGTGCCTGGTGGTGTCACAGTACATGTAAATGATGAAGATGGTGATGTTGACATTGAAACTCCGACGTCATTGCAGGTAATTTTCTTAAAACTCTATCAACTTTTCTCAAAAGTTTCTATTCTTTTTCCCAGAGCATTTAAGATTCATGCGTTGATTTACAGTGGTGGCTTGATATCTATCCACACCTTCCTGAACAAGAGAAGCCATTGTAATGCACACAATTGCCAGGAGAGACCATTTTTGTTCCTAGTGGGTGGTGGCATTGCGTTCTAAATCTCGAGACAACAATTGCAGTGACACAGAACTTTGTAAACCAGTCTAATTTTCAGCATGTATGTTTGGATATGGCACCTGGCCACAGACACAAAGGAGTTTGCCGTGCTGGCTTACTTGCTGTTCCAGGAAAATTCATTAAAGATAATGAAAATCATCCATCTGTCACAATGAGTGGATGGAACCACCCTGATATGAGTCGTAAGGAAAAAAGGCTTAAAGGTTCTGAACCACTAAGAACCTCAAATAGCATAAATCATTGTTCTGCATTTGAGCTCTCAGGTGTTCAGGAGAGTTTGGAGAATCAAGATTTCTCTTATGATATTGATTTCTTGTCACAATTCCTTGAGAAAGAAAGGGATCATTATTCTTCTCTCTGGAGTCCAACTAATTCAATAGGGCAGAGAGAAGCAAGAGAATGGCTGCGCAGGCTTTGGGTTCTTAAACCTGAACTGAGAGAACTAATATGGAAGGTGTGTTTTGCTCTGTTGTTTCTTTAAATTTTACTGTCCCCAGTGTTCTGTGGAAGTAGTTATCATGTACTCCCTCTGTTCCAAAATGTAAAACATTTTAATTTTGTCCCAAGTCAAACTTCTCTAACTTTGAAAAAGTCTGTAGAAAAATATATTAACATCTAAAATATCAAATAAATGCACTATCAAGACATATTTCATGTTGGATTTAATGAAACTAATTTGTTGTTGTAGATCTTGGTGCACTTTTCTATAAACTTGGTCAAAGTTAGAGAAGTTTGACTTAGGACAAAACTAAAACCTCTTACATTCTGGAATATGGGGAGTTGTTTTTTTACTTTCGGAAGGTTTGTTGAGGATGTTATTTTCCTAGTGCTTACTGTCTACCTGTTCCTACAGGGTGCATGCCTTGCAATAAATGTTGACAAATGGTATTCATGCTTAGAGGAGATATGTGCATGCCATAGTTTACCACCACCCACAGAGGATGAGAAGCTTCCTGTTGGCACTGGTAGCAACCCAGTAAGTACTCTCTTATTAGTGTGTAAGAGTTACTATTATCAAGAAACTATAATTGTAAATCAGCTTAGCTGTTCCTAGGTAACACTGAAATGCCGTGTACAATATTGATTTTAAAGGCTTACTCCAGACTTATGTATTGCACATAGAAACAGATACATTTCAGATGTCATGCAACCTAGTTTAGCTGTTAATGGGTTTGTGTCTTCAGCTTAGTAAGGTCACTGCTCCCTGATGTACAATGAAATCATCTGAACTGTAAAAATGAAATTTCAACACCGTATTCAAATGGCATAATTTCAACTTTTTCAAGCTGCATGCATGTTTGCATGTCTGTTATTTGTAACATATGTCACAAACTTTTCAGGTCTTCATTGTCTCGGGCAATGTGATTAAAATATATGCTGAAGGAGGATTAGTTTATGCTGTCCATGGTTTGGGCACAGAGGTATTGTATTGGGCTATTGGTTTTTTTTTTTCAACTTCTTGTGGTTCAGAATGTCATTTCTGTTATGGTGATACTTGATCATTCTGCTGCAGCTTGAGTTTTATGATCTCCTGCAAAAAAGTGGTTCACCTTTGATCAATCACATTCCTGAGATAATTGCTAGTGGCTTCCTTGAGTATAAGGATGATATCTACAGGACGGTTCCATGGAATGGAAAAGGAATACCAGAAATTTTGGTTAAACACTACCCGTTGGAGGTTTCTTATGCAAACAGCTGCTTTCCTCTTGGGCTTTGGAGCAAGCAACGGTTTGGAATGAGTAGTTCAGCTGATGTTTCAGACAGACCAATTTGGCCTTACATGGTTACGAGAAAGTGCAAAGGAGATATTTTTGCTCGCATGTAAGTGTACAGGTTTTTGTTCTCCTCCCAAGAGAATTATAGTGTGTAATGATCATGAGTTCATGACTTTGTGAACCTGCTCTTTTTCAGCCGTGGATATGCTGTCAAAGACTGATATTCTTCATCTTGCATCATCCTTGGGAGTTCAAATGCGAAACATACATCTATTATCCCTGCCACCTGTGGAGCATGTATCTGAATCTGGGAACAATGATGTGAAAGAAGTGGTAGGAACATGTGATGATGCCACGGTCCTACCTGAATGGCAGCAACTAGTCTATACTCTAAATAGGAGAAAGCAAAATGTAAAGAAGCACCTAGCTAACTGGTGAGTGAGAATCATGTGAGACATATTTACTCGGGCTAGTTTGAAGGGGTCACTAAAACACTATGGTTTCTTTCTCTGGTTTCTATTTGTGTAGAGCATGTCATTTTTCAATCTTAAGTTGCAAGTTGCAACCAGTGAAATAAGAATTTAATTGAAGTATAAAAAGGCTCATTAAAAAACTTATTTGTACCCACTGTACTTGGACTTCCAACAACATTGCCAGAGTTATGTTAGATAGGTCTTAAATGAATCGTGGGTTTATCACAATTAGTTTTTAACAGTTAAAATTTCCGCATAAACAATATTGTGATTGCAATTATGCATTGATTTGCATAGACTTCTCTCAGCTGGATATGCAACCGCGATGTTTTTGTTAGTACTCAATTTGATAACATGATTTAATACCTGAACATGATTTTTTTTTCTACCTTGTCTGCATAGGGGGAACTCTGTTCCACAAGTTCTAGTAGAAAAAGCTGAAGAATATCTCCCTCCCAATATGGGCTTCCTCTTCAAGTTTGTTAAGGTAAATTTGCATTTTTTTGCCTTCTTTGTCACTTGTGTCAAGCATTAGGTTTGATGTTTGCTGATTGAATTAACAGGATGATGGTGACTTGGTGTACCCATGCCCCTCTTGGATACATTCAGATATAATGGATGATAACATTCTTATTGAGGGGATCACAAAATTGAATTCTTCTGGTGAGAGGGAAAGAGTTTATGAAGCAGATCAGGAAAAAATGAATGCAATTCACATCATTGATTTCAGTGATCTGTCCATCGGTGAGCTGACAATTACCTTTGTTCCTTAGTTTTTGAGCATTGATTACATTTTCATGTCTACACAAGAAAGGCATTTTGTGTTCGTGCCATGCGTCACTGACTGATGAAACTAAAGATGTAATAACTGGAGTTTGCATAACCCTCATCAAGCAATAATCTGAACCTGGACAGCTTTGGTTTCTGTACTGTGGCCTGGTTCTTTGTGTGAAACATTGAAATTTCAGATTGTTTTTTTTTCCTAAAGAGATGAAACATTATCTGTATATGTGCACTTTTTTCGAGTTTGAAGTGAAGGTTACAATTGTATTGTGATATTTCTTTTTTGTGTGAGCAGGGGATCCTATATGTGACATAATTCCGCTGCACTTGGATATTTTCCGGGGTGATACTGACCTTCTCAAGGAATTCCTATGGAGCTATCAACTTCCCCTTCTGAGGGGGGAATCAGTTACTGATGTCTACAAATTAGTGCGAAATTCGAAGTTCAGCAGGGCATCATATCGCGCAATGTAAGTAGATTTTTTGCATGTTTCAGAATTCAGTGCTTTCTCCATGTACATTTTACTATTCTGTTTGCTATATCTATATCCCAAGTCAATGGATTATTGCCACGGGTTTGGTTGTGTCTGTCTCCAATTTCTTTGCACTTTGAAAGTCACTAGTGTTACACATAGGATTTTCAACAGAAGTCTCATCCATCATGTTTTCTTATGCGCGAGTGCGCCACTGATACACCACATCAGTGGAAGTAGCAAAATGGTGTCTGCCTTTGGACAAACAATGCGCCCAGTATGCACTCAGAGTTGTCAGCGTACAGTAGCAACATTCTCATCTAGCAAATTTTTTTTTTTTGCAGGTGCTACTGTATACTACACGAGGACAATGTCTTGGGAGCTATATTCGGCTTGTGGAAGGAGCTGAGGGCTGCAACGTCCTGGGAGGACGTTGAAAACTTGGTCTGGGGAGAGCTGAATCGGTACCAGGAATCATGGACTCTAGTTCGCTCAGCATAACCACCAACAGGACAAAGAAACCTTTCTAAACATACATGTATGTTGTTCCTCCGACAAATGTAACTTCAAATAGTAGAAAAATAACGAAGGCTCGACACGGCATGTTCATATTTTCCTGGGCAGTAGGCTGATAATTCTGCAGTATGTGGACTGTTAAATTATACCTTTTATGTAAAACTGGCAGAGAACTGCTCTTTTATATTAATTATAAAGGGAAAGAGTCAAGATCTAGGGCCAAAAACAGGATTAAAAACAAACTGTAAACGCCCCACGCCCACAAGCGTGTGGAAAAACTAGGGATGTTAATTGCTCCTGCTACGCATAAGTTCTGTTTCTTCTTTGATTTTTGCTACTACTGAGGTAGATGATGAGTGGCATCTTGAAATATTTAGGGCTATCCTACTGAAAAATAAGTAAACACTGTTTACTTTGATTTGTTAGATGATGAGTGGCATCTTGAAAAACGGATTATAAAAGAAGCGAATAGTGCCTATTTGGATGAGCTAGGAGTAATTACTAGTTGAGCTAAAAATTAGTTCAAGTTGGCTAACAACTAGTTTGTCACGCCTCACCCTGCCAAGGCTCCAAACCTAGCTGAGCCCAGGAGTACCAGGTGGCGAGCCCCTAGCTCTAGGAATTCTGGCCCACACCGGGTGTGCAACACTTGTATTAGAGAACCTAGTAGCGAGTGATACAGAGAATGGGAAATGACTTTGTAAGACTTAAGCAAAACGGAAGGGCTAGCGTCAGACGTCTGGACGGACGTGGTGTTTGGATGTAGCTCCCGCGCCTACGCTCGCATCGCATCCCATGCCCTCGCGTCCACATCCCATCCAGCGCCCGTGTCCGGACGCAGCACCCGCGCCCATCCCGCGCCCGCACGGTGAAACCCACGTGGGTCCCATGTCACCTGCCCCGCCTGTGGATGCGCTCCGTGGAGGCATCTGCTGGCCTCAGGCGCCCGCACGTGAACCACGACGACGCCCCAACAGCAGCAGCAGGCGGCTGGCCGACAGCTGTGCGCCAGCCACCGGCGTCACTGCAACATGTGCAACACCCTATCTACTTTTGAAACATCTAGATGAAACATTTACAACATACATGTGAAATAGATGAAACACTTGAAACATGCGTGTATAGCCATAACAACATATGGAACATCCAGATCCACTTTTGCGACATCCAGATGAAACACTTGCAACATAATAAGTTTGAAACATTGAAACATACGTTTGAAACATGCGTGGATAGCCATAGCAACATATGCAACATCCAGATGAAACACTTGAAACATAGGTTTGCAACACGCGTATATTGTCACATTCTATATCTACTTTTGTAACATCTAGATGAAACACTTGAAACATAAGTCCGAAACTCCTGAAACTGCTAGCCAGCAAGCTCGGGTCAGGGGATGACGAGATCAACGGCCCAACGTACATCCGGCACAGGCGTGGGCCTCCCTTTCCTGCGGCGGTGTCTTTGGCTAGCCGTGGGAGACGATGTCAGGACCGGCATGGCGTAGGATTGGGGCGGGCGCGGCGCGGGATGGTGCGTGGCGGGGGATGGTCGTGGCGGTGAGGCAGAGTGAGGCGAGCGGACGACACGTCACGGCCGTGGCAGGCGGATGGCGTGGTGGATGCGACGCGGCCATTGCGGGCTGACGACGCGGTGAAAGCAGCCGCAATGGTCAGAAGTGAGGAAATGTTACGTACGACATGTAATAGACAAATGAGTTGGGGAGGCCATAGGCCGATTGCCTAGGCCGGTCCGCAGGCACAGCAAGCCAACATCCAGGTGGACGGACACCCTGACACCAACATTACCATAAGCGAAAACATAACAGAATTCTTCCCCTTCAATGTTGTATTGGAGAGCCTAGCAGCAAGTGATACAAAGAAGCGAAATGACTTTGTAAGACTTAAGCGAAAACATAATATAATTCTTCCCCTCCCCCTCCCAAGGTTGTATTGGAGAGCCTAGCAGCAAGTGTTACAAAGAAGGGAAATAACTTTGTAAGACTTAAGCAAAAACATAACAGGATTCTTCCCCTTCCCCAAGTCAAGTAACCTGCCGACCAGGAGAACATCTCCGCCGGCGATCAAGTCGCTACCCTCCTCGGCCTTCTGTCCGTCCTGGCGCTGGATCGAGGCACATCGCATGGCCACTACACCCGCCTACAGAGGTCTTGAGGAGCCATGATGGAGCTAACTCGATGAGATCCTCAAGCGCCTTAACAACGTCGACGCCTGGTGGGAGAAGCCTGTAACACCCTCGGTATTACATTGCACTGTTTTGCTAAACATTTCATGAGCATTATAATTATGTGCATATGTGTATAACATGACTTGTAAATCGATGTTCGGCACTTGAAACATTCATACGAAACATGAGACAAGCAGGCCGGGCAATGGCACTTGTGCTGCGAGCCTTGACCACCTGCCACCGCGCTGTCCGCGACCACCGCCACTGCCCGGCCTGCCGTCGCTGCTGACTCGCCCAGCGCACCGGAGCGCTGTTTGCGTCCTCGCTGCCGCCCGTGAACGAACCCCGCGTAGGCCCTGGCTGCTCCTGCCTTGGCTGCCTACTGCTCCTCGTGGCGCGCGGGTCACCTCGCCGGCTGACGCGCTGCGCCCAGGACGTCGACCGTGCCTGCCGCGCCATGCCCTGCTCTGCACTGCCTTGGCCGGGAGTGCGCCGGGCCCACGCTACACGCCGCCCGTCGCCATGCCGGTACTGCGCCCGTTGACATCGCCTTGGCTGCTCGCGCGCAGGGCGATAGCCTGTCCCCGTCCCCTCGGCGTCACAATCGCACTATGTCCCTTGTCGAGCACTGCCCGCTGCGTCGCCGTGTCGATTCCTCATCGGCTTGCAGCCGCTCCGTGTGGACTGGCGCCTGGAGCCACGTCCTGCTGCTCCCCACAGTTGTGCACGCTGATAATTGCGTTGACATCCACAGCAGGTCCGAGCCAAGCCGCGCCAGAGCCTCGGTCCTCGCTGTAGCCATGACCGGCGGGACCTCTTTCCCCCAATTCGCCGCAATCGTAGCACTCTAACCTAATTGATCACGTCCTCAGGTCCGTTAGGTATCCAGTCACCCAACCTATTCCACCGCGCTGCCGTTCTCGCCTCACTGTGCCTTAATTTCAAATCACCGCGCCACCGGGTCCATAAGACCGGACAGACGCGCGCCGTCGGCTAGCCACGCAACTGAAGCATCCCATCCCAATTCCTTGCTCACGTAGCCCCTCTTCTAGCTAGTCATCACTGTGCTCACCATAGCCTAAGCCTTGTCGTAGTATACCAGTCGCTGGCACAGCCGTGCCCTCGCCGTGCACCGCCGCACCACCTCGCGCGCACATGGCCAGTTTGGCTCGTGCCATCTCCGGACGAGACACCACATCGTAAGTTTCTGTGGTGAGTCACTGGAGCTCGCTAGCTACTTCTGTGGCCCTGGCCTTGCTGACGTTCACCGGAATGGCACCGCCGTGTCTGCAGGTTGCCCGCCGTCATGGTCCGACCCCGCTGCTGCGTCCCAGTGCGCGTTTCCTCCGCCCTGCACTTCGCGTTCGTGCCTAGGTGAGATTTGGCTCGTTGGTTTGGGAGGAGGCCTGAGGTGGCCGGCGTGGGTCGCCGGTGTCGGCCCCGCCGCGTTGGTGCGCGCGGGTGGCCGCAGGGGTGTCGTTAGTGGGAGGACGAGAGATTCGGAGGGCGCAGCTGTAAAATCTTAGACTGGGGGAATAGTGTCCTAGAGCTCTCTGTGATTACATAGTACTTCGGGGGTGTCCGTGCATATTTGCCATCACACGCGGGCCTCTCCCGTCGCGGGCCGTTGGCTGGCTGGGCCGCGCCTCCGTTTGGGCCACGCTGTGGTCTGCTGACGCACGCGCACGGGAAGGCGGAGTGGGCCGAGCCAGCACGTATTGGGCCAAGTAGTAGGATTCGGTTTTCGTAATTTCCAGAAGAATAGAAACGTTTATTTATTTTGGTTATGAACTAAACTTCGATAAATCGTAGTAAATTGCGTAGTTGTCCAAAAAATAGTGAGACTAATTTTGTTAGGTTCGCAAAAAATACCATATATCTGTTAGTGTAGTTAGTTCACAGTTAGTTGTTATGATCATAGGCTCATAAATTCTAATTAGAAAGCTTAGTATTATATAGATTAATATTTGTAGAAATTCTTGTGGCAAATCAATAATAGTTTTAGCTTTGAAAATTTTACAGTAGGTTCCCGAGGATGTTATGTGCTCGCTGTAAATTTTGTAGTATTAGAAGGTGTTGTTGAAATAAGATAGCCTTTACCCTTGTTTATTGGTATATAGTGTAAATCGGCGTTAGGGGTGAAAATACCGATAGTTGCTGGAATAACGATGAATGCCTTACTCGATACTTGTTGTCGATAGCAATAGGTGATTTAGCACCGTGGTCGATAGCACTAGCTTAATAGTTAAATCGATGTACTTCTATTTTAAGAGCTGCTGTTGTTATATTATTAAACATTACATCATCATTTCATGTAGATCACGAACCGGTAGATTTCGTGCCCGTCGGCGAGCCGGAGTACGACGAGGTTATCGAGGAGTACGAGGAGATCTTCACATAGGAGGACGCTCAGGAGCCTGTTGGTGCTGACCCTACTGACCCAGCGCCTGCCCAAGGCAAGCCTCGGTGCATAACCCATATTCTTATGATCACTGAATATATATATATATATGATGTGCATTTAAGTTACAGGCATTTTATGGAAACTACATGCATAAATATATCTACCCATGAGTCCTACTAGTACAGGTCAAGTAGCTGCTATGCTCAGGAGATCGGTAGCGTGAGTAACCTGCCGTTACTCGCAAATAGGTGATAAAATATGAACACTCATGATAAAATGATGAAAAGATAAATGGTGACCGGACAGGGATATGGTTTGGGTATTGGTGGGTGTAAAGGGTTGTGTCCTGTGGCCAACAGGGCATAGCTCGGTTACACTTTTTCCCTGTCTG